CATGGCAGGAGGTGGAGCTGGATGGGCTTTAAGGTCCCTTCCAACCCAAACCATTCTGGAATTCAGTGATTTTATGAAATCGGAGTTCAGAGTAAGAAGCTGTCACATTTAAGGCTTAAATACAATTCCCTGTTTCTCCCTCATGGATCATCTGACTGAAGGGAATCTGCAAGGATAACTTGACATTAAGATGAATGGTTTCTTCAAGCTTTCAGCAGTTTGCTCTGTTAACATCAGCATCATTCTGCAAAATTTGGGAAGCAGCTGAAGCTAACTCGGTTTGCAGCTCCCCTGTTTTTAATGGAGTATTTGTAAACCCTACACAAAATTTACAAATAAAGTAGCAGCATGAGATTAAAAACAACCCCTCAGTAATAATTCTAAATATGCTAACATGCCTCTGGAATATCCTGAATTTAAGCAAGGATGTATATCTGTGGAAATATGGGTTTGTTATTTATTATTTTAATCAGGGAAGGCAGCCAGGCACAATTTATTCATGGTGTATCTCAAAGTACCTATTTTCAGGCCATTACTTCTTGCATGGAAAATAGCAATGTGTCAGAATTCTTTCAAGGTGTGCATTGAATCTGTGCATGAGTGGGTTTTCTTTTTAGAAAAACCATAAATTAGAGTTGTTTCCTTGTGTTTCAATGCACAGCTTCAAGTAATTGTTGCTCTGGGGTCAGTATTTCAACATGCATTTGTATCAGGTGAATTCTCTCCCTGTTTAGATGAGGATTTATGGCTTCAGTTGGTGTTAATTTAACAAGTGAGTAGACAGATTTGCCATCTAATAAAACTTTGAAAAGAAATTTATTTAGAAGAGCCAGAAGAAGAAAAGAAAAAAAAAACTCATCTTTATAGCAGAGGAGATGAGCAGGTGTGTGTGCTGGGGGTTTGTGTCTGTAGCTGCATTGCCTGGAAATTACACCCAATTTTCTGCAGAATTTCTGTCCAACTGCTGATCAGAATCAGTGGGGGATGTGGTGCCCTGGGAATTTCAGTGACTGCTGGGAGCAGGAGATGATGCTGGGGGATAATGAGAGGGTGGAAGTGCAGCTCTGACAGCCTGTGAATTACAAGGCCACATTATTTTCTCCAAACTCCTGGTTCTTGCTTTGGCTTTTATTTTAAAAACCTCTCTGAGTCAGTTTGTGAACAGCTTTAGTAAGAACTGGACCCTTTCAAACAGCAGAAAGCTCTGCAATTGTTGTATTTAAAGATTTAAAGGTTTAGGGATGTCCAATAGCTGTTCCTCCACAATATTTCCAGCTTCTAGTGATAATAATAAATAATTCTACAATAAATCTATAATAAATATTATAATAATATAAATAATTCTATAATAAATATATAATTAATATTATAATATAAATAATTATATAATTATATAACTATTATTATAATATGAATTAATAATAGCACAAATATTATATTAGTATAAATAATTATATAATAAATAATGGATGCTTTTTCTTGCTCTAGTAAGTACAGGTTATTTACCATTTCTTTCACCTCAAGTAGTTGTTGTGGTGTAAAATTTTGTGCTTTGTTCAGACAATATTTCTATGCTTTTACTGCTTTTAATCTGAGCAACTTTAATTTGCTGTTTGGCCAATTTCCTCCTAAATTTTACTGTTTC